TTTCTTTCTTTCTTTCTTTCTTTCTTTCTTTCTTTCTTTCTTTCTTTCTTTCTTTCTTTCTTTCTTTCTTTCTTTCTTTCTTTCTTTCTGTCTGTCTGTCTGTCTGTCTGTCTGTCTGTCTGTCTGTCTGTCTGTCTGTCTTTCTTGTTTTTGGCTTGACCCCATAAACTTGTTTGATTACTTTCTATCAAACCATGTTCTGGTTGCCCTGACCATGCATTTGATGTGGTAGAGAACAGATGCAGATGGGCTTCCAGACCAAAGGGCTTTAGCAGGAGGTCCCACGGAGTTTTAGATATGTAGAGAACCATTTTAATTAGACCAAACCACATTATAAAAATATAACAGAAGTTCTTTGATTGGCATTAGAATACCATTTTGGTTGCAGTTTCTTAGATTAAAAATGTCCTTTTAACAGCAGGAACAAACTGCAGATTATTCTCAATTACTATGAATATAGGCAGGATTTAAAGCACAGAGCTGGACTCCTGCTTTTGGTCTGGAAGCCCCTTAGGTTGGCTTTGCATGAAATCATGGGTTAGTAAAACATATTCTTTCACTCTTTTCTCTCCAATAACACTTTTAATTTTTACTATGGATTCATTATTATATTCTCTTTGAAAACCTGATGTCTTATCCCCAGTACTCTATTAGCTGGTCTGTGCTCCTGAGCTACCTCAGTAACTCCTGACAGAAACAAACCTTAAACCAGAACACTGACATATCACCAAAACCAGAAGAATCCATTTCATATCCATTTCATATCCATCAAATATTTGTAAATGCACGTACCTTCCTCTTCAACTCAACGACTTCGGCATGCAGCAAGCATTTAATGAATAAAAGAATACCATTGCACATCAAAGAGGAGATCTCATTCAAACAATGTAGAAAAATATCCTGAGGCACAACTTTAGTAAATACTTAGATATGGAGGCTGGATTGTTTACAATGGCTGTATCAATCAACTGTTTGGGTAAATACGTGTAAGTTCAACATTTTCTGATATTAGATAATCTTAAGGTTAAAAATGTACAGAAATAAAGCAGAAGATGAGCTTTTTTTAATTAAAAGCAATAGGGTGTATTAATTTTTGTCAGTATGAGGAAAATATCAAACACATAAGTTAAGCATTCTGACGGCAAGTCATTTAGTAGTGTGAGTAAGTCAAACTTATAATTAGTTCTTTCATCAGATTAAGCCCATGACTTCGGATCTCGGCTTCTCTGTGGACTTAGCATGTTCTCCTCATGGATACATGGATTTTCTCTGTGTACTCCTGCTTCCTCCCACTGCTCAAGTCATGCTGAGTAGATTAACTCTGCAATTGTCTTTAGGTATATGCAGATGGCTGTTTCTCCTGTGTGTCTCTGTCATAGATGGACTGGTGAATAGTTCCATCAATACTCTTTAATCCAAGGTACCTCCATATACTGTACAGCTCTATATAAAAACACTAATGTGTTGTTGTTTTTTTTGCATTAAATGTAACTATATTATGTTGTATAATATTCAGTAACATATTACTGTATTCCACTAAAACATATATTTTCATTTGGGGCCTGATTGTTGATATGTTTTATATTCAAATATTGAATAATATGGGACCTTTATGAGGTCATTCCACCTACACTCCTTTAGCAATATGTAAAAGCATTGTGTTTGAGTTTGTCCAGAGGTGAAAGGAAGGTATCATGTGCAAACATCATCTAAATGTTTGTGGAACAGGATTAGAGGGGTCTTTGCACCTGATGCCTGGAAAGGGATAGTAAAATAACCCCCTCCCCCCTCTTGCCACATACCTTCAGGCTCAGGCTCTGGTTCTGGCTCTGGTTCTACCACTGGTTCTGGTTCTGGTTCAGGCTCTGGTTCTACCACTGGTTCTGGTTCAGGCTCAGGCTCTGGCTCTTGTTCTGGCTCAGGGGCCACCTCAGGGGCAACCTCTACCTCCTGTACTACCTCCTCTTCTATAACTAAACAGCATGCAGCAAATCACCAGGGAGGAGACGGTGGGGGGGGGGGGTAGCAGGAATTTAATAGAAGCAGGGGAGAGAGGAAAGGGGAAAGAGGTGAATGTTTAAAGTTCTGTACATGAAAAGGAACATGTGAGAAAAAGAGGTTAATGTTGCTGCTTTTTGGTCAACCTCCATAAGATGTCGCCAAAGCACATAAGACAGCAAGCATTGGAACAAAAGATAGCATTGATGGATAAAATGGAATTAAAGCTGAAATGCCATTTGAATTTTTTAAAATGTTTTTTACAAAAACCGTTAATGTTAAACAACATGCTCCATAAACTACAACCATAGGAACTTACAAGTGGGACATGAATTAGTTATTTAATGTTATGGTTGGTAGTTTGCCGGCTGTCTTACCATCGTATTCTTCATCCGAGAAAGGAAGGATAAGAAGAATATTATCATATCATCCCATGTGTACCCGTTTCTTTTTTAAATAGAATGAATATGAAAATGATGGGTACAATGGGAATTCATGCTAAGCAAAACAAAGCTGTCCTTTTGTGCTGATCAGATCTTAAAGGCAGGACTTAAGGTGATTTTTTTTATATTGAAGTTGTGCTCAGCTCAGAAGGATGGCTCAAACTGCAAATAATCATGCAGAGCTAGAATGACTATTTGCAAACAGCCCAGTGAAAATTATTTCAAGTTGAATTTAATTTCAAACAGCATGGTGAACATTTTTGCCAGTATTGCAACCATCTAAGTACTACAGCAACAGTAACATTTATTTTCCTTTTGACAGTTTGAATCTGGAGGAGTCAAGCCAAACCTGCAAACAGACAAAACTGTCCAGTGTTCAGAGTTAATTCTCTATAGAAAATGGAAAGTATGTGAGAGAGTGTTCAGAAACAACAGTCAGATTTAGCATGGAGCTCCCAATTGTACCTGGGCTAGATTTTTATTTACATCAATTTATACAAAATGTTGCAACTTACCCTCGACCTGCTCTCTGCAAAACATAAGAAAAACACAGGTTAGCATTAGCAATGCTCAGCACTAAAAAATAAAACATTTTAAAAGAAGAAAATTAAAGCTGCTTTAAAGCTGTAGCTGGTTTCTTTTTGTCAAAAATAATCACAAAATTAAAGATTTGAAAACTTACACTTCCTCTGTGTCAGACATGGTGGCAGTGGACTTTGAAACCTTAAAACCAAAGAAAAGAGAAGATCTTAAAATCTGTCTTAAAGAAGCAACTGCCCAACATGTTGTATTTATAGCTCAGGATTAAGTTGCAGATGCCTTAAATATGTGCTACAGACTCCACCCTAATTGCACTGCAACCTGTTTACTCTCTCATATTCCTCTCCAAGTGGAATAAATAAAACAAGCCTGGCTACATCAGATTCTTTTCAAATATTATTTCCCATCGATGCAATATTGTCAGCATTTCCTAAATAATGATATCCAGAAATATAGGTTTATAATTAGGGTAAATTCTTTGCCTGAAATATGAGCGTTAGTCAAACATCTGCTTCTCTCGTGATAAGTGAGAAGGAGACTATACATAGATTTATGCCATTAGTCCTTTTTTAACTACTGAGAGAGGAGAATAATATTCCAGTGGACAAGAAATGGTCCCCAGTAGTAGTGTTACAGTTCAACCACCTGTCCCCTCATGTCATCTTATATTTAGTATATAATGTGTTAAAGTTGATTAAGTCATTAATTAGGCAAAGTTCATAGGTTTTATATGTTGGCTTATATATTTTTTTACTATGTTTAAAATCTGTTTTGGCATTTCATTAGGGCCAAATTTTGCTACTTGGTGCAGCACAAATCAAAAACTAACAATAAAAAATAGTATGTGATGATACTCATCACTGAATCCCTTTCTAATGAAATATGGGGTTATATGTCTTGTTTGTATTATAAATCCTTTCATTATGAGGCCACCATGAAAACGTCCTGACATTAGCACTTTTTTCACATGACAGCTGGCCAGGTCTCAGATCCAGTTTCACTTTGCAAGATGTTTAAGATTGGATTCTCTCCTTTCCTCTAGTACCAGCGTCTGTCCCTTATGTGGTTTTCCTGCTCTCACATGGTTCCTTCAATCATCCTCAAGGCTCCCTGTTGTCTGATGCCCCTTTACTTGAGATCTTTAACTCCTAAAAGATTTACAAAGGTGAAGGTTCTCTTGCCTGATTTAAACTCATTAATGTCATTTTGGGAATGCAGGTAAAATGTTTCACTTCTGGATAATGCTAAAGCATGCAGTTTGTTGTCTAGGTCTTGTGACCTGATTTACATGTTAAAGTGTTTATAATTAAGTTATTTGATTCATACAACTTTAATGTCGCTTTGGAAAGTTGCCAAGGGATGTAGCTATCAATGAAATTTGCAGTTTATAAAACAGCTGATCCGGACATAAAATCAGCAGAGAAAAAAATCAACAACTTTTGTTCTGCACCCTACAACAGAAAGTTGCATCAAATGTTTTAAGCAATCTGTAAATCCCCTTGGCCACTGAGTCAAACGAGATTCCATCCAAGTCAACACTAATATGCTTCATATCTGCCCAGAAATCATTTTTTTTGCATGGTGTCTCCTCGCTAAATATAAAACACATAATCCTCTTTACAATTAATCAAGTTAATATCAGCTCCTCAGGCATCCAACACACATCTAAAGAAGAATGTATTACAGTAGCTTTTACGTTTTTTTTTACAATAAAGCATTTTTTGATGATCTGCTTAACACTGATCTTTTTCCCTTCTTCAACAGGTAGTAACAGTGAACTTAAGATGCCTGAGCTCTCATCATGATGAGTAATGTTTTATGACATTGCACTTGAACTTCCATCCTCATCCACACACCCAGTCACTCCAGTTCTGCCTTACCTCAGAAAAGCTGAATGAAGTGAGCTCCCTGTTGGCCGAGACAGGCTGTAGGGTTCTGCAAACTTACCACCGTGATTATGTCCTTCTGTTATAGTGACACCTGATCTGTTCAACCTCCCTATTGGCCAAAGAACTGGTTTTGGGATACACGTTTGTCCCTGTCATGGGGTAGGATCGATGTCTTCAGTATATGCCCGCCCCCTAAACAAGTGCTCAATAAGGAGATAGAAGGGTTGAATGCTAAGGAGGGAGGCTCTACTTTGGTTAGAGCAACAGCAAAGATGCCTACAGAAGGCTATTCTGGTACTGCTACATTAGGAAAGCATATTTCTTCTAAGACAGATGAGAGCAGAATGTCATTAACAGCATAGTTTTTTTTAAATCATAAATGACACAAACACAGTATCAAGCTAAGGTTTTTGATGCAGAGAATTTAAATCAAGAATGCTTTTTTGGGTCTGAGTGTGAAAGTGTGTGTCTGTCTCTTTTGGTAATATTTAATGATTTTGATTAATATCTTGATTTGTTTGACGTTTAATTTGACTGTCTTGACTTTTCTTAAATTGTTTTTGACATTGATGTGGAGGTGTTAGTCTCACACCATTATTGTTTAATGAATTCCGGATCTGGTAGAATTCACAGATCCACAAAGTTAGAAAGTTATTTCTTGTGAGCTATTACTTGTCAGCTATTAGGGTGCTAATGAGCCACAGCTCCATTGATGCGGGAATCTTAGCAAGTGGCTTTGTAAAAGGTTCTGACATTGAAGTTCATTCTGCTTTCCACCAGATGGTACTGTAATAAAAGAATTAAGAAAAGAATTATAAGAACTTATCTTCAAAAGTTTCTGTGCAACATAAGGTGTGCAAATTAGGCCTGCAAATCTAATTTTATGTTTAGAATAAGCAAGGAAAAAAAAAAACTTTTCAGTATGTGTCCTTACTAAATAAGAAACATATAAAGATAACCCAAAGATCCAACTTAATAGGAGTATATGCAAATGTTATGGCTTACCACCCCAAAATGATCAAACCTGAAAGAGATTGCCTTGCAGTTTTTTGCATCTTTACATATCTGAAAGGCAAATGCAAACTCACATACAAGATTTTTGATTTGTGACAGCAATAACATCAGTGTAGTAGAAATTGGGGAAGTTTAGTATTTGGGAAAATAACCACAAAAGTTTACTACATCCCCTCTTTGATCGCCAAGAATGTGCTTTGATATATATATAAAAAAATTGTAATTCAATTCAGTTTATTTGCATAACACAAATTCACAAAACATAAAATCCTAAAGCACTTTACAGAGACATTTAACCAGATCATACAGTCAGATTTGTTCACAGTGTTCTATCTAAGGAAATCAGCTGATTTAATCCCTCACGCTTGGAGCGACTGTGGAGAGGAAAACCCCCTTTCACAGGAAAAAAACTCCAGCAGAACCAGCCTCATTGTGAGCGGCCATCTGGTGTGGCTGGCTGTATAAATATATAAATAAAGTGAATTGAGAATTTTACTTCATGAGAAGAGTTAGTTTATGAAGAAGCTGAAAGAATTAAAACAGTAAAATCCACTGATGACGTTAGGAAAACATGTACAAGGCAAAATAAAGGTTAGGCTAAACAACACATAAGTGATAAAATAATGAAAATGGGACATAATGATAAATGATGGATAAAAGGACCCATACCAAGAACATTTCTGCAGACAGCATGGTGTAATTATTGCAAGAGTAACACACACAAGAAATCACTGTACAAGAAAAAGGGGACTTAAGATGGAATTAGACAAGTCGCCGAAAAACAACCAGGCATCCAAGATGATTTTTATTCAAAGCTGAATACATGCAGAGAAAGAAGCAAGAAAATAAAGTCATGATGAAGGTATCAGGTGGATGCAGGAGTTATGTCACATATTGTGAATAACATCACAAAGTTAAAAATAGATTTGATTAGACTTTTCAAGTCGAACATTGCGAAATTGGGGGGGAACAAGTGTACATGAATCCAGAAAAGAGGAACAGCCACGATCAACCTGCTGGACAACAGAGGAAAACAACAAAGAGCGCAACAGCTATTAGCGCACTAAAAGCAAAAGTGATGTAGTCAATGCTACAGAAAGGTTTGTGGCTGGTAATGCACCAAGCCTCAGGATCCCAACAAAAACTAAATACCAAATGTGAGCAAGGTGTTTTTGTAGGATAAGATAAAAACAGCCCAGCTTATCTGTTATATTATCCAAATACAGTACAGAGGAAGTCTTGAAACACCAACTGGTGAAGTTTTTTAATAAAAACCTCCAAACAGAAACAGACTAGTGAAAATATTTATGATGTTGAGATTCATACTGTGGTAGATCTTTCTGACTCTGTACCTGAAAAGACTAAGTGCACACAACCAGAAGAGACCACAAAACCATCAGGAAAAATCCTCATAGCAAAAAAAAAAGAACACCAACATATTTTCAAGACTTTGAAACAGAAGATATAGAGGAAAAACTACAAGCATGCATGGACGTCTGTTATAGAGCAGTATGGGATGTCCCTCTTGCATATCAGGAGGCCGTGACATCTCCTGAGGTGAAATGATAGAAGAAAGGTATAAATGAGGAGATGAAATTTCTGGAGGAGAATGAGACCTTCAACATAACCCAACTGCCACCAGGTAAATAGACAGTGGGCGTAAGGGTGTCTATGCACTCAAAATAGACAGCCATGGAACAGACAAGTTCAAGTCAAGTTTTGTAGTGGAACGATACTGCCAAAAATATTATTTCAGCTGTTATATACTGTTTATGACACACAGCCCTACTAGTTGTGTGTTAGAACAATAAATGAAAGAGTGATTTGAGCACTAATCATGGTCAACAGTTAATTCTGCAGATACTTGGAATAAATTCACCACAACTTCTGTTCAAAATATAAGAGTTTATTAACAAAAATCATTCAGCTCCAAGTCAAACATTTCAGTTTAAAACTCTCAACTAATGTTATATCAGCGTTTAACCCTCAGTGAACTAAAGCTTCTCCAAGCTTCAGCAACAACTCAGCGCATATTCCTGTAGCATAGCGTTGCATGCAGTCTATTCTGTTAGCTTGACTTTACACATCAGTAAACACATGTTGTTTGTTCTGTCCCTAATCATGCCA